AAATGGCAGGACAGAAAATCGGGCATTAAAGTTGTTCCCAAGTTCAAGTAAGGGTTAGTTCAGCTGAGTGTCCCTTCAGCAGCAAATCAAATTTTTAAAATAAATTATCAGCAACACCAAGAGTAAAACTAATATGTATTTCTGCAGGAAAATGCCCATTTATGCTGTGTCCTTTGTTCTCTTAATACATGGAAATAAAATGTATTTTGTTTGAGACTGCTGTGGCAAATCAAAAGGGGAATTAGGAGGTTAAAAAAGCAGCAGATAAAGACAGAAAACCCAAAACCACTGGAAGGTTAGTGCTTCCTCTGCATGTTCCAATGGGGCAATGGATGTTGGGATCAGTATCACATGATGTTCTACCTACATTATGTGAACTCAAATACTACAAAATGTTTTTCTCAGAAGGCATTTGTGAACAAGWGTGAAATACAGGCAGMCTTGGCATTAAAAGAGCTACAATWTTCAAAAGAAGGCACACCAGGAGCRATTTGGTGGCTGAAGMAGGTYTAGTYYTGAGTACWAAGCAGGGCTTGTGACACTTRTASATGTCCCTCTCCTGGGTCACAAGGCTCATGCCACATGGAGCCACTTCTGTAAGAGATGACAAAGTGATGCWCTAATTTATGTGGGTTTTGAGCACAAGGCTGTGAGAACTTAATTAGCTAGTCTTCTATCAAATGAAATGGATAAAAACTACAAAACAAGACGATGAGGCACTAAATTTAGAAGAAAATTCATTTGATTATCACATCAGAGCTGGGATATTTCAGATCACACTGTCAGCTTAATTGGCTACAATTTATGYAGATTTGATAAAACTATCTGAGCTGTTACCACCGTGGGAAGTCACACTTCATGTATTCCAAAGCAGTTAGCCTTTTCACTCTGATGTGGCACTTGAAAACCTTGTGCTGAACACATTTTGAACCGTGTAAGGTTAGAAAGGCTGGAATTGCTTATTATTTTGTGTTTCTGATGATKTCTGTCATTACAGTGTCTGATTGCTCCAGGCACACCTAACCCTGGCAGAAACAGGAACGTTCTTATCTCATTTATAACCCTCTAACAGAGATCAGTCTGATCCTGTTCCTGCTCTCCAATTTCTAATGCTGACAATTCCCTGGCTACAATTAGTTCTGCACAGATTTATATGCAAATGACCTGGGATGGGCATCTTTAAAATCACAGGACCTTCTCCTAAATCCTTGGACCTGTTCACACAGAGAATAACTCAAGTTTTAGGGATTCCTGATGCCTTGTTCTGACTTTTCCAAGAGGAAAACATTCTAGTGGTATTTGTTGTTAGATGCTGTAGTTGTGTGCTAATTCTTGACAGATCTAGCAGAGATAAGCAAGAAAAAGCCTGTTGACTGTATTCCATCTTCATGCTTCACTGATCCCYCCACATCTGGTATCTTCAGGAGGCCTCCTGCCTTTTCAATCTTCTTTTCAGCCCAGAAATTGCACCTAGCTTAGGAAATGGAGTGTAAACTTTTGTTTTTACAAAAATCTGTCACTAACAGCACCAAAGGAAATAGAGGGATTACTTTATAAAAGAGTCAAACAAAAGTTCAGGACTAAGGAATCAACAGAACAACCACRGGGAAGCAGTTATTGAATAGCTCTGACACCTTTTTTTTCCCCTCTAATGAAAATTTTCAGCTTTCAAACAAAACTCTTGGAACTTTCTTCCAGCAATGGTTTTGACTTGAGAACGGAGCAGGGATTTGTGGATCCACATTGCCAGCCCTGGAAGTATTTTGTTACTTTAACAGTATTAATGTTTCAAAAAACCAAGGCCTTTTCTGCTTTTCCTACTGATGAGGAATGTTGATGAGGAAGTTGGAGGGGAAGGGGAAACTGGGAGGAGACACAACTGGGACAGGAGACCCCAAACTGATCCCTGGGATATTCCAGACCATGGGACATCATGATCAATATAAAATGGGGAAAAGAAGGAGGAAAGGAGATGCTCAGAGTGATGGAGTTTGTGTTCCTAAGTCACTGTTACACGTGGTGAGGGCCCTGCTCTCCTGGAGGATGGCTGAGCTCCTGCCAAACCTTGGGAAAAAGTGAATTATTCTGTATTTTGCTTTACTTGCGTGCACAACTTTTGCTTTCCCTAATAAACTGTYTTTATCTCCACCCATAACTTTTCTCACTTTTACCCTTCCACTGGTGGGGAGTGAGTGAGTTCCTGTGTGGCTCCTGGTGCCTGTCCAGGGTTAAACCACAACCAAATTTTTCCTTCTGGACACAGAAACTCTGAGAAACAAAAACCATGAATAACTTTTTATTTTTGCTTGAGGAGGTAACAGGATTCCCAAGGTTCTCTGATATTAAATTTTATCCTGAAGATTCCATTTTTCTCTTTGAAAAGAAATTTCTAGCTCTTCTGTTTTAAAGTCTGAAAGCATATCATAAGTAGACTCAAAAATCCTGGAAGAAAAATTAAAATAATTTTAAATGTGCTATTAAAAAATCCTATAAGCCTTCAACTACCTAGGTTCTTAGAGCAAGAAGGGGCCTGATAAACTTGATGGCTGTGGGGGAAAGTGGCCCCACAAGCCCTGATTGTGAAACTCAGCCAATTATTGTGTATGACTGAGGCCTGGGAAAAGAAAGGGATGTTAACAGCCTACATGGAGGAGGAATAACACAACCTTGAGAAAAGCAGATTGGAATGTAGAATTGATAACGCAGGTGGCTGGAAATTA